GGTGTGCTTGTACAAAGGATATCTGCTGCTGCAAATCCAATTTTTGAGCATTTATCATTGTGTGATTTTACCTGGTATATCATAAACTTTGCAAAAACATTTTTCAAAGGCATTATTTTGGGTTGTACAGTGCAGAACTTGAAATCTGATTCAGAACTCTAGTATTAGAGCTAATTTGATTGCTCTGTATGTGTTCTACCGGTATGTCTAAAATGAGTGTTATTACCAATATATTGTAAATCTATTTACTTTCTTTAATAGAGCAATTACTGCTGGATATTTTTCCAATTTTTGTGACCCTCTCTACATGTATGTTGTTGGCTGCCTGCAAGAGGGTCGTTAGAAGTAGAAACAATTATTGTCAATGGCATTATTAGCCTTCTTGCAGGTAACCAGCGATATTTGATGTTCACCCAAAACCTTTAATAAACATAACTTAATTAATCTCCTTTGCCGGAGTAACTGTGTTTCATGATTCAATGATATAACATCTTGAAATGATTAATAATGTTTTCAATAGCCAGTATATGGTTAGATAGCAAGAGTGGGACAGATGCTTTGTTATTAGGGAAATTCTTGAACATTTTTATTTAAAGCTAACCCTTTGATTGTTAATAATAGCATTTTAATGAATGTGTCAGGCTTTTGGCAATAGCTTCCTCAAAGGTATGTACCTTAATGATTGATGTACAGAGTACACGTATGTATTTTCATTTCTTTTTGCATAATAAACATTGAATGTAAAAATATAGCAGATATGGGTAAACATATACATATCATCTACTCATTGAAATGTCCTTTTCGTACATTTATGTCATTTTTTCTTTTCATGTATTATAATGCATGTATGGGAGGACTTTTTTCTTCTAAACATGTTTCATTTTTTCTAAACATTATTCATGTACATGTATCAAAGGATAGTTTTTTCTATACATGTATTTGAATGAATGCATGTAAACTAAAGGAAAAATCATTTTATAATCATTGCTCTGATTATTATCATTAGAAATTGTGTCTATTCCTCTTTGAAAAGATACCATATTTGTCATGATTTGGCAGCCATGGAGTGAGCAGTACATCAGAATAGGGGGCAGGGTCAAAAGGGAACAATTGCCAAATTTAGAAAGGAATAAACCCTCTTTTTAATGATACTAAACACAGCGATAATTATGTAATACTCAAGTTTTTTTTGAGGAGTTTGGAATGATGAGCGCTCTCTTAAACATTTTGGTCAGGTACATGTCTGCCAAGCAATAAAGGTCTGTTGTGTTTCTCTTGATTTCAAACAAAATCATTATTGCTTGGTCGGATTTCTGTATAGAGTATTAAGAATGGACTGGTATTCACTTCAATACTGAAGTCGGAAATATCAATATTTTACTCAGTTTTGGAGTAAAGATAAACAAATGTTTAGCCAACTTTTGCGTTCAGTTGTGGTTTTCATTTGCAGTCACCATAAGCTGCGCATAATTATGTTAGCACACACTTTAATGCGACATGTGGTATTATGCTTAATTTTGGATTAGCTAAGTGATGTAGCAGTGCAGCCATCAGTAAGCATTTTACCTGATTTTTGGGTTACTTAAGTAAAATACATGTACCGGTATTCAGATCTAATCTGAATATTAAAGACTTGAGTCATTTTACTTAGCTAAGCTAAATACTAAGTAAAATACTGACACATAGTTCAAGTATTGAACTGGAAACGGGCCCTGGTCTCTGCTTCTTATTGATAGCACAACTTATTATTATGTTAGTACATGTATTATAAATTATGTATGAGCATCTTGTCAGTGTACTGAATAAATTGACATGTTCGTGAGGAGACATTGTAATGTAATTTGTTGTCATTTCTGCAACTCTTGTGGCTCGTTCAGAAACGACGCCGTAAACTGCCGCAAAAAAAATATGTGTAAATGAATGGCAACTGTTGAAAAGTTAAAGGGTTAAAGGAAAAGCCAAGTTCTGGTCTCATAAAAGAAACCGTCTGGAAAAGATTGACCATATACATGTAGCACAGAAGTATTGGTGTATACTGTGAGGTTTTGGAATCGTCAAAATAAGAAATTGACCCAGTTCTGCTAAAGGTAACATGCACTCAGGATGTAAGATTACACGAGCATTGGCATGAAAGTGTGGTCCACAACCGTTGGCTGTTACTTGTCGTACTTTGAATATGAGGGCATTTGAAGAGCCATCCTTTTGAGATGACATATTTTCTATGATACTCTTTGACACCTTTCCCAGAACTCGACCTTCTCTTAAGTTATATCCCTTGAAATACAAATCATAAACCCAGAGTTGGGTGTATTTGAATCAGTAGAATACAGACTGAAGGGTTCATAAAAGACTACCGTATTAATACATACATTTTTTTTAAAGAAAATTTTATTCCCATTGACATAGAAATATTCATGGAATTGCTTACAAATAACAAATACAATGTACATAATATTCCAATATTCTTATCCTCAACAACACATCATACACCGGGGGACAAAATTGATAAAGTATTGTGTGCACAAATTCAATATGATTTCTTATGTCACTTACATGCTTAGTTGAAGTACAACTAATAATCTAAATGCACATTTATTTCTAATTCTCAAATATTTAGACTTTCTATTACTCATATTTATATTTCCTGTAAAGAAGATTTACAATAATGCATAATCGAATGATTGCATGCACGTATCACTTTTGTCTTGAAACTAAAATTTAACTGGAACTAGTAGATAAATAAAATATTTTTAGACAAGAGAATAAATTCACATGTTTTAGTGAACATTACAATAATACAGGATAGTCAGTCACCATGGCAATATAACACCCTTGTTTTTTTTTTATTTTGTCAACAAATGACCTTTGATTTGATGTATACACCATTGGCAGTAAAAGAATGATTTTCATTGCTCCTCCCCCTTTCCTCTCCCTCCCCTCCAGGAATGGATATTCAAAGCGTACATGTTTGGAGATAGACTAGATGGCACTTTGACTGTCGAAAATGATGCCTCCGCATTAGAGCAATTTTACAAACCAAAACGGAAGCAACTTTTAAAATTCATGGCTCAAGATTGCAATCCATCTGTCGTCTTTAATAATGCATTCACAAGCTATTTATAGGCATCCTTAATGAGCCCCATGACCTTTGACCTGATGACCTTAAAATCTAATCAGTTCATTGGCTCTGCAAGATACATGTCTTGAGCTTGATAGTAATCTGTCTTGGTTCTCATGATAATGTGATCACAAGCTATTTGTGCATACATAATGACCCCTGTGACCTTTGAACTTTGACCTTGTGACCCCCAAATCCAATCAGTTCATTGGCTTTGCAAGATACATACATGACCCAAGTTTGGCAGGTATCCATCAATTCGTTCCTGAGATAACGCGATCACAAGAACGGGGCGTACGTACGGACAACCAGAAAACATAAAAATAGACCTGTTTGCTAAAACATGTAAAATTCATGCATGTTCTCTTCTGAAACCCTGGTTAATAACTATTCAATGGGACTTAAATTAAATGCAGTCTTAGTGAAGTGACTCCATACAAATTATTTCATTAACCCGTTACGGATAATTGTATTTCAGTTGTCCGAATGCAAATTGCATATGTGTCATGCTGTTTAGGTAGGGCAAACTACATAGTTTGTCCTACCTAGAAACAAATAATTTATGCCATTTGCATTTTCATTTTCACTATTACGATAGTTATTCACAATAAGGTGAATGAAATAACTTGTAAAGAGGCACTTCACATAGATGGAAGTATTACATTTGGTTGCATTACCAAAACAACCTATTCAACAGCTATACACAATAGTATCTCTATAGATTGAATCCAGTGGCTGTTGCTTTGCTTTCGAAAGCATGAGGGTTCTCCAGAGAAACTTTTATTTTAAAAGTATATAGAAAATTTGACAGGACTATTATACATCTACACAGAAATTCCTTACAGGTTTCACAGTCTAGCCTAAATCTTATTATTTCTTAAACATCCATTTTCCAAAATGCATATAAGAGCTAGAAAGTAAACATAAGTCACATGTACCCAATAATCTGGAACATATAGTGCTTGCAGCAGAATACAATTAAAAATAGAAATCCTAATTTGGACACTAGATACTGAACTAGATTGGCAATGACCACAAGGGACTATATTCTTTCCATACACAATTAAAAAAAAAAAATAATTGTCACACTTTAACTTATTCATCATAATCTTAACATGAAAATTTGAAGAGCTTAGTAAAGATGAAGTTGAGTTCTGGTCATGTGATTGCATTGTGAAAGAAAAGGTGTGGAATCTATCAGAAAAGGTTGATCATCTAGTATTCAAGTATTTGTGTGTATTGCAAGGTTCTGGAATCATCAAAATGATAAGAAATTTGGCCAAATCTTGGCAAAGTTACAAGCACTGTACACAGAATGATGTATATGGGACTACACGAGCACATGGCGAAAAAAACCTACCCCAGATTTTTACGATGTTTCATGTCATATTTAGAATATGAAGGCATTTGAAGAGCCCTACTTTTTAGGGAACATGTTTAATCTGATGTTCTTCCACCCTTGCATAATAACAATGATAATGCTCACAAATAATTTTTTACCTCTTCCAAGAACTCAACCTTCTCTTTAATCATTTCATTCTTAAAATGAATTGAAGTATGTTATGATCAACATCTTTCGCAGAGAGAACGGGGGAAAAATGGATTCATACTTGCCTAAATAAGGAATACTACCTACAAGTAAGTCAGCATAAGGGGCGCCCTAGGCAAAAAGCAAGGAAATATATTGTCTGGCTCTTGACCCTTTTTCAGACAATAGCAAATTTGCTCACAACCATTAAATAGTAATCAATTTTACTAACTTACCTACTTGTTATTATTGCAAACAAGTTTGATGAAATAGGGCCCAGGGAACCGTCTCATGAAGCTGTTTTAAGTACAAGTTCACAGACATCCCATTGAAACAAGTATTTACAAAAAATAAAAAAATTGTGTATTAGAATTTAACTTGTCTACTGGAACCGAGTGGTTTCTGTAGTATACCTATACGGAATATGACAATTTGGTAGTCGATGGGTCATCGCACGTTTCAATGGGTGTCGGTGAACTCATACTTTATGATGGTTTCGGAACATGATGGCCTGGGGGGGCGTTTCACAAAACTTGTCATCAGTGACAGATGACAATTTGTGTTATAAGCTACTGAAATCCTTGCTTCTGATTGGTTATCAGCAGATTTGTCACTGATATTTGTCATTTGTCATTGAAAAAAGGATTTGTGAAACTGGTCCCTAACTTATCACTTCCACCATCCACTGTGATTTTCCTCAAGCCGTCCTGAGGATGATGTGTATGCCGGAGTCTGTGAAAACTGGGTCACTCATCTGGCCGACCTCGAGTTTGAAAGAGGCTTCCTCAAAGGGCTTCTGCATCTGGTTACGGCCAAAGAATCCGAGATCGCCCTTCTTGTGCGCCGAGCTGCAGTCGCTTTCCGTACTGGCTAGGTCTCCTAATGTGACGTCCCCTGCAACTATCTTCGCTCTATGACCTGAATAGAGAGGCAGAAAGGATAAACAGTCAAACATGCTTTAGCGATCACCTACATAGATAGACAACCTGTCTATAAAAAACTATAGTTTGGTTTCCCTTGAAGATTTCTTTCTCATCAAAACCTGCCTACAAAGATCGCACTCGTGTCTCCTTTGAACAAGTCTGTTCATGGTATACTCACTATACTGGTTTCCTTTACTGAATTGGAAAGGAACTTCAAACTTTCTTCAAAAGTAGCTACACAAATTGTAAGTAATGAGTACTTTAAACTTATTGCAAACAAATTGGAAAAGGTTGACAATTATGCTTTTATTGCTTTTAACCCTTACTGTACTGGGCTATTTTGAGCACCTCGTGACTGGGGGGGGGGGGGGGGGGGCCTGTGAGCCTATGATCTCGGCCGTCGATAGTCCGATGAACACAAAAATTTGCATGTATGTAGATATTTACGTAAGGAACAAGATGGCATAATTAGTTTTTTCGTAATATGCAAATTTTTGTTGTTATAGCCTAATTAATTATGCAAAATGCTAATTTTATGCATTTTACAGAAAACTCTACATTTTTGTATGTAAACTTGTGAAGAATCTTGAAAATGTATTGAATAAATCTCAAATTCATGAGGTTACATTATTTTTAAGATATTTGAAAATGCATAGGTTAATTTGCATAAATTATGAATACGCATTCATGAATATCAAATCTGGAAATATACAGGGAACTAGAGTCATTACAAAAATTGTCAGACTCCACTTTTTGAATGTTAATTGAAACTCATTATTCATATGAAACTTCTTTTTTAACACAAAATAGTTATTTTGATGCGATTTTCAAATTTTTATTTTCTTTTGTATTTTATTGTTTTTTAATTCTTATTATATCTATTGTTTTATTTTTAATGTATTCAAAAACTTAATGTTTTGTTCTGGAATACATCAAGTTACTTTGAGAAACATATAAAAGCAATTTGATATCAAGTCATATCTCCTACTTAGGAAGAAATACATCTGAACCTGTATTCACATTTCTGCTTGTACATGAATATATGCAATTATAGCATATTTTTTATGACATGCGCATACTAATTGGTATGTAACAACTTACAGGTATATCAGGCCTTAAATTTCAATATTTTTAGGGCAAGGCCACTTTTCTGTAGGGCATATTGCTATATTACAGCACAAATAGGAAGAATTGGAAAGGGCACAAAAAATCTCCAAGAGGCATTGAGGCCAATCAAAGGGGCATCCACGGCCATGGCCTTGGTGGCCTTGGATTAATTTAAGCCCTGGGTATATCCGGTATCAAAATGTGCGTAAGACTTGAGGGAAAAAAGTCAAGAAACGACAATTCAAAATTCCAAGCGGTTGCGGCGCAATCTCCAAAAATGTTCGAGGGGGGAGGGGGGGGGGGGCCTCCCAGGCCCCCCCCAGTACAGTAAGGGTTAAAGGTGTCATGGTGGAGTAGATAGCCATCGGACCGCATGGTTCGTGGTTCAAGTCCTGCTGGGGCACCAGTGTCCTTTGGCAAGACACTAATCTACATTTTCTAGTCTCCACACTGGTGTAGTAAATGGGTACCTGGCAGGTATTTATGCCTTATTGCTGCTTTTAGCACCTTAGGGCAGCTGGGCTATAGCCAGGCAAATAAAAGTAATTTGCATGCAACTTGGGCTTCACCTGAAAAATGTAGCTATCATTATCATTATTATCACAATATTCAAGAAAAATGAAATAATATGGAGATTAATATATTCCAATAGAAATTTGTCAGGGATGGCTTGCAAAATTGTATTGAGTAACATACTACCCTGCAAGAACCAGACAGAAGTGGACTCAAATTATCAAATTGTTTGCCCTTCAAACTCTAGCAGTAAATATTCTAAATACCGGTATTCTATTATCGTAGAACAATCGATCACATTTTAACAGAGCAAAGAGATAAAAAGTAGAAACAAGGGAAACGCTCTCGGCGGTCTCGCCTGCATTACGCAATTCAATATGATGAAAAATTGAGGTTGGGACATAATTCATAGGCAGGGTGGCCCATTAGCAGGCCCCCCCCCCCATGAAATCCTCTGAATATAATCAGCATTTTTAAGTAAATATATTGACCCAAGAGTCATCGGAAGAATTATTTACTATAGTTTGAACCAATATTAATAACTTTAATGGAACATGAAATAAGAACAATTTTTTAAAATCCTCATAAACTGACCTAAAATGACCTTTGACCTTGACTTTGTGACCTGGAATTTGCGTCATAAGATTTGTGATACTTGATAGCCCGTGTGTACAAGTTTCATGGAATTTGAACAAAAACTTTTGAAATTATGCTAAAATTTCAAAATCTTGATGTTGATGCCACAAAAGAGTCTAAGTTTGTTGACATGAAATGACCTTTGACCTTAATTTAGAGACCTAAATTCTACTCACATGATTGGAGATACTTGATAACCCTTTAGTGTAAGTTTCATTGAATAAGAACTTATACTTTCAAAATTATGTTAAAAATTCAAAACTTAACCTGAGGTTAAGTTTTCGATGATGATGCCACAACATAGTCTAAGTCTGTTGACCTGAAATGACCTTTGACCCTGATTTTGTGACCTGAAATTCTGCTCACATGATTGGGAATACTTGATAACCCTTTAGTTCAAGTTTCATTGAATGAGAACTTATACTTTCAAAATTATAATAAAATTTTTTTTGATGTTGACGCCGCCGCCGCCGCCGCCACTGCCGCCACCGCTGCCACCGCCGTCGTCACCAGAAAACCAGCGCCTATGTCTCGATTTTTGCTACGCAGGCGAGACAAAAATGAAAGAAAGAAAAGGTCTTTGATGTACCAGGAGTCCGAAAATTGATGGGAAACTTACATTAACTTGGGACTTACTTGGTGGATGAGATAAGAATTAGCAATCAATTCCTTCCTTTTTTATCAGTGTAAAAAAAAAAAAAAAATTTGGGGGTTGTCTTTTGATGGGGCAGGAAATTCGCCCCCTCCCCCAGTAGCTATGCCTCTGGTCGAGGAGGAAAATGGATACTAACCTTTGAGTATCTGAAGAGCGTCGTCTTTCGTCCGAGTGATCCTGTCATCTTTCCAGGAGGCTGGTCTTCTGGAATCTCTGTGTTTCACTAGGAGATGGGAACAACGTACTTTGCCTGCTGGAGGGCCCTCAGGTTTGTCCCATCGACTTTCCTTTGAAGCCATTTTATAGTAGTAAGGTTGACCTGCATGTATTGAATGGATTTAAAAAAAACAAGGATTTAATAAAACCCAGCTTGTACCATGATTGCAATGAAAACTTCTATTTATTTGGAAGTCCAGAACAATTAAATTCCTGTGGTACTATATTTGTTTTACATGACTGTCATTTTCTTTATATCTTTACATATTGATTTTCATGAATGACGTTATCACTCCTCTTTGCTTTCACAATACCAACGTGCTCATATTACTCATTATAAGATGATGACATAGATCCTAATCAAATGATTGGTTGAAAGCGTACACGTGACCAGGCATTCATTTTGTCTAACACGTAATTTGGGTAATGACCGGTCATTACCCAGTGGTAATGACCGGTCATTACCACATCTAGCTAAAATTAGCGCAAAATAAGCGCGACACAACTCAGAGGTCTAATATTAGACGCGTGCAAGGCAAGGTATGCCTCAATTTGCGCTTATTTTAAACCATGGGTTTATGTAAATGAGAATTTAACCATGGGTTAGATTTAAACCTCCTTTGTGAATTCGGGCCTTTGAGTTTGAGATGAGGGCGATTGATCAAATAACAAGGATCCACGTTATAATTTTATAAAACAAATAATACACATCATTTTGTTCAGGCATTAGTACAATTACCCACACTCGGTACCTTTGGAAAAGTCTAACATGCCCTCGGCTATCGCCTCGGGCGTGTTAGACTTTTCCAAAGGTACCTTGAGTGGGTAATTCTTACTGATGCCCTCACTGCTGTGTTTTATTTGTATAGTATTCCATACATGAATACAATACAAAATAAGTCTCTTTTTTGTGCAAACCATGTTAAGAAGCAAAGTCGTCGATTCTTTTTCATTGTGGGGTATCAGACATACAAAATAATGTGCCCTTCTCAAATTTCTCACCAAAGAGTGATGACTGTTGTAGCGCAGGGGTGTTTTTAACGTTTAACTTTGAATCCATGGCTCAGGATTTATGCGACAGGCCCCCTCTATTCAATAACGTCTCCCAAGCCTTCTGGAATGACTCCCAATCTCCCGATTACAATTGTGCTCCTCTTTGTGAGCTTTATCATGAGTGCCTTTACATGAACCTTGTTTTGATAAATATATGCTGGATTCCGACTAGTGCTGTAGCCAAACCGCCGAACCGAACGGAAGTTCGCCGAACATGGCACTTCCGAACCGAACTGAACCGAACCGAACGCAAAGGCCTGGTTCGGATGTTCGGCAGAAAAATGTAAACGTTTTTGCAAGCTAATAAACTTGTCATTTTGTACCTAATTTTCATGTCATGATTGCTCATTTTATATTTACTTTTTTTTCCATTTTCCGCCTTTGTGATTTATGCCTATCCAGTGGTGGGCGCGACTTCACTGGCGCCATTTAAATCCCAAATCCTGACAACGCTACGTCGCGATCGCAATGCATAAACAAGAATACATGTGCGTGATCAAAACATGGTCAGCTCAAACCCATTCAACAAAAAAATAATATTTTAATTCTAACAATATCGGACAAATTTTACAAAATAAATAATGAAATAAATATATATTATAGTATGGTATTTATTTATCGAGGAAAAATAGGGATGTTATATTTTTCCTATTGAAAATAAAAAATTATAAAAAACAGTTATAGACGAGCCTGCATGAGTCTCTATTCAAGATGGCAGCTTTCATGACTCTAACATTAGACAAAAACCGTCTCGGAAAATCTTTAAAAAATATCATTTATTGACAAATTGAAAACATGATTATCTAAAATTTGAAAATAAAACACGATTCAAGACGGAAATATGAATGTAAGTAGTATTTTCTTTCACAAATAATTACGTTTAGAGCAGTTTTTAATGTGAAATTCGTGCTGGTTGAAAGCACTGTGCAGAAGTCCTCCGTGCTGGTCGGGCCCGGCAGGCCGGCTGGCCCGCCCAGTGCCGACCGCCGTGGCTATAACGCTGCTTGCTATTATATTACCGAACCCCGAACCGAACCAAGTTCGGGTGAAAAATTGCCGAACTCTGCCGAACCGAACCGAACATAGCGTCTGACTTACAGCACTAATTCCGACCCAGACTGCACTGATAGGATGATCATCCATAATACGCTTGCAGTTCACTTCCCCCTCCTCCTTATTCCCTTCTCCATCTCTGCCGTCACTGATATTTACGTAGGGCCGGCCCCCTTTTCAATAACGGCTCCCAGGCCCTCAAGAATAACCCCAAAATTTCCTGATTACTATTCTGCCACTCTTTGGAGGGGCCGGCCGGCCGTGGCCTCTTCAGAAGTGATTTTACACTAGAATTACGGCTTAACATGAACAAAAGCATGCTTAATATTTTTGAAAATAAGCTGAATTCTGACTCAGTTTTGCACAACGTAAAAAATTATAATTTCACACGCCCACATACCCCCCCCCCAGTTTTTCCCTCATTCGTCGTTACTGTCACTTAGGTCTCGATCTAGTGCCATTTCCTAATTGTAACTTTCTCCCTTTCTACCACCGGCTTCTCTCTTCCTTGTCTCTTTTTTTTTTCTTCTTTTTTTTCACTTTTCTTTTCTATCCTCTGCAGTCTTCTCCTTAATTCTCTTTTCTCTTCTTTTTGCACCGCCAATAGGGGGGGGGGGGCGGCCGTTTCGGCCCCACCCCCCTCCCCCACTGTACCAGTTAGATAATTAAGGCCCTACTTTCTGTTTGGCAGACTTATCCTCATGCATTCATTCATTCGTTGAATTTATTCATCACGTTCATAAAATCATCATAGCTCATCGCACTCAACTACAATCTGTGGTCCCACATATTCTCTTGCGCGTCCCGCTCAGCCCACAACCAAGCCACAGTCACAAAATGAACTAGATCTTATTTTCTTATCTCACACAATAATACAATTATTACTCACCATTATGGGTTTTACTGTAACGAATTTCCCACCCTTCTGGCAGGTCATCAGCCATTCTTAAAAAGTGGGAATTTGTAACTCGAAGACAGACAAAAAAATGTTCGTTGGTTGACTCGCTACTCTTTTCCAGGCGGCAATAGTAGTCTAATTCTTAACCCTTTTCTAGCAGTTTCTCTCAAAATGCTTGTTTATTGTTTCTCACTTGTAGATCTACACTTCATAAAAAAAAAATCTATTCATATGTTCAATAAAATCAGCCTGCACGAATCATTTTTTACAGAGAGCGTTTCCCTCATCAATAATGAATAATGATTTCATATCTAAAATATTTCCTGATAATCAGACTACATAGATGCATCTAGGGGTCCATGCATGCATCCACGCACCTGAGCACTGTTTATCAGGTAGATTTCACCTCCAGTTTTCAAGTTAAAAAATCTTGACAATAGTATAGACTCCATTTAAAAATGGACTCGCCCTTCTTTGGATTTTTTTCTCTTCCTAAATTCAAAGATCTTCATTTTAAAATGGTGGCACAGCTGGAAAGGCCCCCCCCCCCCCCCAATGATGTATACAGATTACTGATGAGCCCTACTATTTTCTTCTTCATTTTTCATCTAAACTTCATCTATATTTCTCTTAATGAATGTTTCCTGCTTACAATTTTCAGGTGTAATAAAATGGGTAGGTTTCAACTGTGCACAAATCTTAATCTGATAAACAAAGAATTATTGAATTTTGAAACAAATGATTGTTTGGTATGATAAAAGATTACAACCCCATTTTATATTGTTCCATGTCATCCAGCCCTCTTTTTTCCTAACTTTATCCACCTTCTCTTTCTAGTAGTCCCTCACACAAACACAGCCTCTCTCTGTCTCTCCTCTTTAGAACAATATATTTTTAAAAAAATCTCCTTCTCTCACAGCCTCTGAACCTCCCCCCTCTCTCTTTCCCACAGCATCTAATACTTTTTGTCTCCCACATTGTTTCCTTTGCCTCTGTCTCTCGCTCTCTGTATTTCTTTCTCTCCACTCCTTCTTTAAAAATTCACTCACATCTCTGTTATTATCCCCCTATCTCTCTTTCTCTACTTCCTCCTTTCATTCACTCCCATCTCCACCTGTTTTCCTTCTTTCCCATCGTCTTTAATATTCTATTTCTCTCCTCTTTCTCTCTCCCTCCTTTTATTCACTCACATCTTTGTTATTATACCTGCCTTTTTTCTTCTCTCTCTCTCTGAACTTCCTCCCATCTATCTGTTTACCTTCTTTCCCCCTCCTCCTTAATATTCCATTTCTCCCCTCTTTCTTCTCTCTTTCCCTCCTTTCATTCACTCATATCTTCGTTATTACCTCCCTATTTCTCTCTCACTCTCTAAACTTCCTCCTATCTCTATCTGTTAACTTCTTTCCCTTCCTCCTTAATATTCCATTTCTCTCCTCTTTCTCTCTCTCTCTCTCTCTCTCTCTCTCTCTCTCTCTCTCCCTCTCTTTCTCTTAGTGTATTCCCTACAAGTGCACTAGCTGTGTGAAATTCATAGCTCTGCATTAAATCCACCAAGTTTCATTCCCTGAAGACAAATAAATCAGACAAAACAAGTCGCTTGAGTGAAAAGTAGAAATATAATACTGTTTGCACATAATCTTGCAGAAATGTCAATAGATTGCAATAGAAATATCACATACATTATACAAGTTTTAATTTTTTTTTATTTCAGAAGTGAATAGAACAATATGGAATGCAATACATCCCTGCAATGCATCCATACAACAGCTGTATGTACATGCATATACAAATGTACAATATTACAGAATATTCATATGAAAATTATGCCTGGTAGGTTGGTATGAGTATCTTTACTAGACAGTATTTATTTGCATACAGTATTTCCTATGAAAAGAAAAGAAAAAACTACTAGTATACAAATATATTCTTGCATTTTGTTGAATACTATTAATCATACACAGATAACAGACAATGCTTGTCTTTCTTAAGTCAGATATCCAAGTTTTTACTGAACACAGAAAAGTGAAAATGAATACTGTTTTTTTTCTCCATAAAAAAGTGGATAGATTGCATGGGATACTCTGGAAGCAACTATTGGAAAATACTGTTGTGAATCTGACAAAACATACAATGTAAATAGTCCAAATGCAATATAAAAAAAGGAAGCAAATACTAATGCAGCCCCATATAAGCTTTCATTCAACGATTGTTACACATTTGAAACAAAAGTTGTCTTAGTTGATACCACATAATTCTGATTGCAATGTGGAAAGCTTTGTTGTAACCCTTTTCATAAAACTTGTTATCAATAAAAACTTCCATAAATCTATGATAAATCTGCTCATAGATAGCCAATCAAATGCGAGGATTTCTGTAGCTTATAAGGATTATCGTCTCTTTTTAAAATTTTTAACAGGGCAGCTTGATCAGGACAAGGTGGATGCCAGCATTGACTACGCTATGGGAAGATGGCTAGGAGTGACCTCCACAGAAATAAAGGGGGGGGGGGTGAGGGAGGTTAGAGCACTAATTTAACAATAACATTAACACTAACACCCAAAAACAATTTTTAAAAAAATGTTGGTAACATTAATTTAACCTCAAAAAATAAAGAAGAAGACTAAGACTAGCCGCCTTCCCCTGGCTATATTTCAAGATCTTTGGTTCTGGCGGCCTGAGAGAGATTAGCACAGCTGGCGCGAGAATCTACCAATGACAAGGCCTGACAGTGGAGTTCGGCGTTATGAACATTACGGCTGTGTGAATGTATTCTCGAACCCATAGTAGTTAGGGATTTCAAGGAATCTGAGACTAGTCTACTATATAGAATGTTGGTTATTCATTTGATATAGTACGAATAAAACTCTTATTCGAATATAAGAGAACGAATATATGTGAGTGATGTGCGGGAAAATTTGCAGGTGGCACATGAGAATGCCAGAGAGAAGCTCGGAATAGCTGCAGACAGACAGGCCAGAGCATATGACAGGAATACGACTCACCGAACGTATACAGTGGGAGACTGGGTGTGGCTGTATGATGCATCAAGGAAGAAGGGAGTTTGTCCTAAACTAACAGTGAAATAGAAGGGACCATTTATGGTAACAGCCAAGTTATCTGATGTAGTGTATCGTATTCAGGAGTCACCAAAGGGAAAACCAAAAGTACTACATGTCGATAGACTGAAGGCGTATACTGGAGCACCACTAGACAATTGGCTGAATCATTCAATCAGGCGTAACCCAAATAGAAGTAGATTACCACTATTGAGATATAGGTACATGTTAATAGCACAAGAGTTTGCAGCATTAACATGTACTGTCATCTAACTCTAGGGATAACAAGATATATATTTCACATGCATTTCTACTCCCTCTTAAATCTATGAACTACAGGACATGGTGGTGTGTGACAAATGTACAGCGGAGCTGCCTGGCTACTACCAGTATTTAGAACATTATAAAAAAAAACATCAAGGCTTTCCAGTAGTCACTTTGACTTGCCACCGATGCAAGGAGGAGTTTGTTGAGCGAAAAGACATTACTGAACACTATAATGTGAACCATCCTCAGGACTTAGATTTTGTGAAATACCTACGGTATGAATCTGCCTCTCCAGAATTCTTGAATCGAAGGAAGCAGAAGAAAGAACTTGAAAGGAAGAAGAGAAAAAGAGGAGAGAAGAAAAGAAGAGGAAGGAGATGAAGGAAAGGAAAGAGCAGGAGGGGAAAGAACAGGAAAGAAAGGAGAAGGAGAAACAGCTGGAGAAGAAGGAACAGGAAAAGAAGAAGAAGGAACAGGAAAAGAAGAAGGAGAAGGAAAGTAAAGAGCAGGAGAGGAAGGAACAGGAAAGAAAGGAGAAGGAGAAACAGCTGGAGAAGAAGGAACAGGAAAAGAAGGAGAAGGAAGAACTACCAAAGAAGGAACAGGAAAAGAAGAAGGAGAAAGAGAAGAACCAGGACAGGAAGGAGATAGAGAGAAAGGAGCTGGAAAGAAAGGAAGTATAGAGAGGAAGGACTTGGAGAGAAAGAAGAAAGAAGAAAGACAGAAGAAGAAAGAAGCTGAGATGATGATTGAACTGTTTGGACTTGACAGCGAGAGCGAGAGCGAGTATGAATCGCCGAAAAAAAAAAAACCATACTTGGTACTCCTGAGAGAAGATAGCTCAGACACAGACGACATAGTGCTTCAGATTCAGAAGGCCCCTAAAGGTGTCCTTCGTGTAGTGAACAAAGTAACAATCCACACAAGTTTCTACGTGCCAACACTAACTGGATACAGCCTCAAGAGGAGGTTGGTTGAGACTAGGTACCCAGAAAAACCTCCAAGCGTTGTTGAAGAATAATGTTTTGATGTTTACTATCTAAATGATTGATATTCATATGTTGTACATAGACACATTTCTAAATTATATGCTGGCAAAGTGTGCATATATTGTGCATATACATTGTATATATTTGTAAACTATGTGTAGACAGTTATGAGCTCTCACCATAAGTCTGAGAATGGTTTTTTTTTTTTTTTATCACTGGGGACAGTGATTTATTTGATGGGGGGGTAGTGTGGCGTAAATGCCTATCAAATTATTTTTATCTTTCTCTTATGTTGTTGAATTTGACAACACGGTAGATTTTCGGTCCAGAAATGTGACCTACTTTCAAAGCAAAGGTCTTTGCCCTTTTAATTAATTAATAAGCGTATTTTTTTTTATATACGCGCGCGCAAGTTGAGTTTAGAAAATGAATTATTAATATGCAATAATATAACAACTTACCTAGATGTGTGTAGTGCATGGAAGTTGGAATTGCAGATTTTGGTCGTAGTTTCTTGTAATATTTATATTGAAGAGTAGTATTTTCCTTTATCTGGAAAGTGATTCCTATGATGAAACATTTGTATTAATCCTTATGGACGCACCGTGCGTGCGTAATAGTTTTGGTTAGGACATATGAGAGTTTTTGTGCGTAAGCCCTTAAGTACAGGTATAAGCGGGAAATACAAAATTTTGTCGGCTGCCCAAAGTCTATAAATAGGGGTGCATTTTTGGGAAAAATTAAGTTGTTGGGGAAGACCTCCCCAAGTGAGCTCGAGAAAACCAGAACTAAGCAACCATCTCTGGACGTTTTGTTTTCCTCTTCACTG